TGTGCAATTGGCAGCAAATATTTCCCCCAAGATTTCACTTGTCGGCTGCTTTACTTACAAATGTTTATTGTTTTTGTTTGCCAGAAGATTTTATTTTATGTAATTGAACCTTTCCTCTTTTTTGCTCCTGTATATTTTGCCAAACTTACAAAGGTCTTTTTCACTCCAGGATTATGAAAAACATTCTCCTAGGGTTTTAGTGCTGTTATAATTTTATATTTGCATTTAAAAACAACACCAACTAGAAGATATTTAGAACTATAAAAATATAACTGATATCTGGTTTTTGGAATATATAAAGAATTTCCAGAAATCAATAGTAACAAGCAAAACAACCCAATAAAAAATGAATAAATGATATTAACATACAATTTAGAGAAAAAGAAATCTAAATGGTCGATAAACATGAAGAGGCACTAACGTCTAGTAACTTAGGGAAAAGCAACGTCAAAGAGGAATGTTCCATCTTCGTGAGATTGGCAATAACTTAATAGTTTTAGAACCAAAAGTGGTAAAGACAATGCAAACAAATTGCAGGTGGGATTATGTGTCATATCCACTTTGGAAAACAGACTGGCAATATTTATTAAAGTTGAAATGCTCCTACACCCACCCATGCTTGCCACTTCCTGGAATTCATGCCCTGTGTAATTCTTCCCCTTGAGTGTAAGTCAGACCTAGTAACTCACTTTTAGTAAGTAAAATAGGACAAGAGCAACTTCTGATCGCTGTCTTGGATGAAATGTTAAAACAAATTCTTGCTGGGTGTGGTGGTGCATACTTGTAATCCCAGCTACTTAGAAGGTTGAGGCAAGAGAATTCCAACTTCAAGGCCAGCCTGAGTAACCTAGTGAGACCTTGTCTCAAAATAATATTGAAAATAAAAAGACTGGGATAAATCTCAGTAGTAGAGCATTTGCCTAGCATGTATGAGGTCTTGGGTTCAATCAGAATCAAAAAAATAAATAAATAACAAGAACAAAAAGAAAACAAGTTCTTGAAAATGAAGTAATGAGGATATTTGAAACATATTGTTTTAATATTCTTTACTAATGTAATGATTTGTTCAAAAATAATAGTAACAGTATTGGACAAGTGAAATGAATGAGAGAAATGCTACAGAGAACAGGAGGGAGGAAGTGGGAATACTCTGCTATAAGGTAGCTGCTCTACTCATGAAATGTCACAGTGCTATCTGAAAGTTGACTTGAATTAATTGTAAATGTATAGTGCAAGCTCTAAAGCAAGCACTATAAAAACTAAAACTATGAAGCATAATTGATATGCTTAGTGAGGTAGGAAAATGAAAGTATATAAAATGCTCAATTAAAATCAGGGAAGAAAAAGAACGGAAGACCAAAAACAAAAAAGAAAAGAAAAGAAAGACCAGAACAACACCAGTGAATGGAGAATAGCTACAGTTATGGTAGATAGTAATCTTAACTATAGTGTGTCAATAATAACTTTAAATGTGAATGGTCTGAATGAACTAATACATAGGAACTATTTGAATGGACTAAAAAACAAGCTCCAACTATATACTGTCTATATGAAACATATATATATATTTTTTTGTTTTGTTTTGTTTTGTTTTGTTTTGTTTTTGGTACCGGGGATCAAACTCAGGATCTTGTGCTTGCCAGGCAGGTGCGGTGCCACTGAGCTCCACCCCCAGCCCATATATGAAATAAACTTTAAAGACACAGGTAGATTAAAAGCAAACAGATGAAGAAAGACATACTATACTATGCTAACACCAATCAAAAGAAAAACAAAATAGCTATGTTAATTTCAGGCACAGCAGATTTTAGGACAAGGAAAACTACCAGAGATAAATAGGGACATTACTAATGATAAAAAGGGTCAATTCCTCAAGAAGACATGACAATCCTTAATGTGTATATTCCTAATAATAGTGTCAAAATACACGAGAAAAAAACTTATAGGACTAAGAGGAAGAGATGAATCCACTGTCCCCCCTCCTCCACCACCAGGGACCAAACTCAGGACCTTGCACTTACTAGGCAGCTGTGGCGTCACTGAGCTAAATCCCTGACCCTAAACCCCTTATTATACTTCGGGATTTCAACACCCCTCTATCAATAATTGACAGATCCAGCAGGCAGAAAATCAGTAAGGACATAATTGAACTGAATAGCACCATCAATCAACTGGATCTAATTGACATTTATAGACTATTTAATCCAACAGCAGCAGAATACACATTCCTTCCAAGCTCCTGTAGAACTTTCACCAAGATAGATCACATCCTGGGCTACAAAACATGCCTTAACAGATTTACAAGAACAGACATCATACAAAGTATGCTCTCAGACCACAGTAAAATTTGACTAGCAAACAACAACAAAAAATAGCTAGAAAATCCCAAAATATTTGGAGATTAAGCTTTATTTCTAAATAACACATAGGTTAAAGAAGAAGTCTCTCAAGAAAATATTTTGAAATAAATAAATATACAATTTATCAGAACTTGTGGGTTGCAGGAAAAGCAGTGCTTCGAGGGACATGTGTAGCAGTGAATGAATACATTAGAAAATAAGAAAGATCTAAAGATCAATAATCCAGGCTTTCACCCTAGAAACTAAAAAAAAAAAGAGCAAATTAACTAAAAGTAAACAGAAAAATATAATAAAATTTAGATCAGAAAAAAATGTCACTTAATACAAAACAACAGTAGAGAAAAATCAACAAAACCAAAACTAGTTTTTTTGAAAAGATCCCCAAGACCGATAAGCCTCTAGACCGGAGAGTAGACAAAATTGCTAATACCAGAAATGTCACGGATCTTTAAAGAATAATAAAAACATATTATTTAAACATAATATGTGGCTACATATTTGATAGGTAAAAGGGACAAATTCTGTGGCTTCCTGTTAATGAATAAGATATGGTAAAAGTGATGGGATATCTCTCCTGAAAGTAAGTTACAGAAAGACCAGTTGGCTTTGACCCCCCCATTAGATACTATGTTGTGAGGAGACTCAGGAAGCCTGTACATAGACCCACATGGCAAAGAATCAAAACCTGGTGTCAGTCACATAAATTGACTTAGAAGCAGATCTTGTGGGATATGGTGACACATGCCTGTAATCCCGGCACTCTTGGAGGCTGAGGCAGGAAGAGTGCATGTTTGAGCCCAACCTGCATGACTTAGGAACTTAGTAGCCCAGGCTGGTCTCGAACTCACAGTGATCCTCCTGCCTCAGCCTCCTGAGTGCTGGGATTACAGGCATGCTCCACCACGCCTGGCCTGAAATAGCTTAATTTTTGAAGGAGAGTTTGTTTGTTTCGTGTTTCAAGACAGGGTCTCCCTATGTAGTTCAGGCTGGCCTTGAACTCACTATGTAGTCTAGGCTGGCCTCAAACTTACAGTGATCCTCCGGCCTCAGCCTCTTCAGTGCTGGGATTATAGGCATGCAACATCACACCTGATGTTAGAAATATTTAAAATATTTTTATAAAAGAAAATACATTTGCTTTTTGGTTCAAAAATGAATATATACATTAGGTCAGGCTTATTTGTCATACTGTCTGATCTTCCTATATTCTTATTATTTTGCTGTCTGACCCATCTATACCATAAAAGTGTGGGTTAAGTCTTTTGTAGACTTCCTAATTTTTCTTTATATTTCTAACTGTATTTGCTTCATGTATTTTGAAATCAAATTTTTTGGCACATAAATTTCCATGATTATCATATATTTCATGGGGAGTGAAACAATTTATTTTGTTCTCTCTAATGCTTCTTACTTTGTCTTTATTTTTATCAGTATTGCTACAAGTCTCTCTCCTTTCCTCATCTTCCCTTTCTTTTTGCTCTTTCCTTCACCTCCCTCTTTCCTTTTCTTTTTCTGCTAGTATTTAACTGGCATATATTTCCTTTTCTGTTTCTGCTTTATGTGAAACTCATATAAACTTCTAAAATAGAATGCCCAATGCCAGGCATGGTGGCACATGTCTGTAATCCCAGCACTCGCGAGACTGAGGCAGAAGAATCGCTGTGAGTTCAATTCCAGCCTGGGCTACATAGTGAGTTCCAGGTCAGTCTCAACTACATAGTGAGACCCTGTCTCAAAATAAATAAATAAAGAAAGAAATAAAAATAAAATGGAATGCCCAAAATAAGAGTTTGCTTTTTAATAGATGATAGTCATAGCACATTCTGATATATTTGGATTTATTCTTGTTCTTTTGTTTTCCTTTTGTATCCTTTCTTCTTGTCCTCCCACCTCATTTTTTTGCCCTTCGCTAGATTTTTTTTCTTAGTTCCACATATTATTCCTTTAATGATTTGAAATTCATATATTTTACTTCTATTCTGTTGCTACCCTTAAACTTTTTATTCTATTACACAGTCTTTCCTATAAGAACAAAACTTTGCTGCTGTTGTGATCATAGAAACTCTTTATATTGACTGCAAATATTAGTGCATTTAAAGAGTTCTGTAAAACAGTATAAATCCAAAAGGCATTCCTATGCTGCTTTAAAATGTGGCGCAGTTACCAGAATGTAAACCCGTGTTCACGATTGTTTCTTTTGGATAAGCTTGATTTTACAATGAACAGCAACAAATTCCACAACCAACTACCAGGTCTAAAAAAAAAGAAAAAAAAAAAAGCTTACTGCAACTCTGAATAGATGGACATTTTTAATACCCCCCAGACAAACCATAAAGTATAACATAGTATGTGATACAGTACTATAATTATTCTCACACTGGAATTAATCAGAAAGGATTTGCAGATTTCGTTTTATTAAAGAAAAAATCAGAACCGAAAGGAATGTGCCTAAATGTTTAACATTTGTTATCGCTGGCCGTTTGCTATATTTTTTGCTGTCCTTTTCTGTATCCTTGACGGTTTCATCATTTAAAATGAAATAGTGCTTTCAGGCCCACCCGGACTTGGGGAGAGCGGCTACCCCGCCCCCCGCACGCGCCACATCAAGGGGGCGGGCTCCAGTGACGTCACGTTGACTTCCGCCGCCGCAGTCACTGCCCGCCCCACTGCTGTGAGCTGGGGGAGGAGCCCGAGACTCTGGAGCAGCGGCTCAGGCGGTCGTGGCGGTCTGAGGTCCGAGAGCTCTGCTCCTCAGAAGAGCGCGTGGCTGTCTCTACTGGGTAAGTGAAAGACCGTGTTTGTGGTTCATCCGTGCGCAGGCGGTGGGGCGAGTGGCGGGGCCGGGGGCGCGAGGACCTAGGGGGTGATCTGGGGAATCTCTTCGGGTTCGCCCCTCGGGAAGGGGTGGGGCGGAGGGGGAACCGGACTGCCGAGTGAGGCCAGTGGCTTCCGTCGGCCTGATGGGGGCCCAGCCTCCTTCGCTGACCCTTCGGTGCAGCGCCCCTAAGGGAATAGATTTATTGGCTGTCCGAGAGGGGAGTGTTGGTGGTCGCGGCCCTCTGCCACTTCTACCCGCCTCTCTTTTCTCCTCCCTCGGCCTCTTTGAGGAGCATCCCACCGCACCCCCCATTTTGCTGCTGTTTTGCCGAATGGTAAATGGTTAAGATTTTTAGGTAAAAATAATTTTCCCAGGAGAATTGTCAGGAAAAATAATTCTCACCGAAAAACTATGTTTACACAAGTCCTTTCTTTTGCCCCCTTCCCTGCCACAGTGATAGGAATCTTTCCTTTGAGTTGATAACATTTTCCTGACCCTTCTTAACCCCCCCTCCAGTGTTGTGTCGACATGCGCACACACACTGAAACCTTCCAGTGCAGCCCCCTCTCTGCCCCTCCATCCTTGAGGTTTCACTGGCTCCCCTCCCCCACGCATGCGCAAACATGCATACCCGCACCCTCTCACACACCCTCCAGTGCTTTTCCCCTACATACTACGCACACACATGCACACATGGCCTCAAACCCTCTCCTGCCCTCTCCTACCCTCCCCTACCCCTCACCACCTAACACATGCACACTTCTAGATCCCATCCCCTCCATCCTCTTGTGTGCTCGGGAGTGTGCGCATGTACACACACACACACACACACACGCACACACTCATACTCATACACTCATACAATCCTCCCTGCCTGCCACATAAACACATAAGGACATCCTTTTGTTGCTGGCTTCTGACACCCCACACACAGACACCCTTGTCAGATACCCTCCTGGTCTGTCTGCCATGTACATAAAAGTCCCTCCTTTGCTGGTCCCCCGCTATACACACTCACACTCATAGAAATCCTTCTCTGTGGACACTGCCCCCTTCCTGTTTGCTGTATTCACACATGCAGCCAATCTGTTTGCTGGCCCTTGTGCCATCTGCCCCATGCACACATCCCTCTCCAGTGTTGCCACCCCACCTCATGCCGCCTGCATTTGCTCACACTGCCCTTTCTTCATTTTTGCCTTCCATTTTGGCCAACACACACACACACACACACACACACACTCCTCTCCATTGCCACTGTAGCTTTCCTTGCCTCTGACGTACACATAACACAGGCTTCCCTCCATAATCCCAGCTGCCATACATACAGCTACATCTGCTCTAGCTCCCATACTTATACATTCCCCTCTCCTGAAGCCACCCCACTCATGCCTGCCATCTTTATGCTTATATCCAGAGCAGGTCTCATTCTAGCACTCATGCCCTTCCCCCTACACACATAAACATCCCTCCATTGTCCACCTGTCTCTCTCCTGACAGCATAGACACTCACGTACACACGATGATGTATATTTCCACTCTTCCAATTTGCATTTCTCCTCCAAATCTGCAAGGCTCAGCAAAACACAGACACCCCATAAAAAAACCACAGCAATCTTCCTACACTGGCACAATTCCACAGTATTTCACTCACATTCCAAGCATCCAGTCACCTTCTACCTCTCTCAGTCACATTCTCCCCCAAGTCTGGCCTTCCTGCAAACCCAGTCTTGTAATCATTTTTGCCAACATTACAAATGTGTTCCGGGTCTACACCTGACAGTCACTGAAATGCTACTCCAGGCCTTAGTATAAAGTGAAACTAGTTTAAAAGGCCCCTTATCCCTCTGTTACCTGCCTGCTGAAGTTAAAATAGATCTCCCTGCTCTTTTATTCTGCCCAATTTGACTTTCCCAGATCAAAAAGTTGTGCAGAGAGCAGGAGCCCCTGCTATATTGAAAGCCCTCCTAAGTCGGAGCCATGGGTCAGGAATCTAGCAAGCCTATATAGCCCAAACCAGGAGGGTATCAGTCTAATACAGGCAGGAGGTATGGAAGACGGCATGCTTATGTCAGTTTCAGGCCTTCTACGAGCCAGCAGGAAAGGATTGCCAGCCAGAGAAAGACAACATCCGAAGTCCCAATGCATAGATCAGCCCCCAGCCAATCCACCAAGAGGAGCCGGTCACCATTTTCCACCACTCGTCGTAGTTGGGACGACAGTGAGAGCTCAGGTACCAGCCTGAATGTTGAAAATGAGGACTATTCCAGGTATCCATCAAGAGAGTACCGGGCTTCAGGGAACAGAAGAGGAATGGCTTATGGACATGTTGATGTTTTTGGGGCAGAAGATAGTGAGGAGGAGGGGGCTGGGCCTGTTGAGCGACCACCAGTGAGAGGGAAAACTGGCAAGTTTAAGGAGGATAAGCTGTATGACATGGAAAAGGGGGCAAGGTCTTTGTCGGGGGTGCCTCCACGGTTTGCTAGTTTCAACCGCAATGTGAGAGAGGAGCTTGACAAGTTAGACCCATCCCCTGCAGCAAGACGCTCTGCTACCAGAGCTGAGTTCCTGAGGCAAAATAATGTGGCCTCTCAAAAATCTTCTGTTGAAGGCAAGGTGGCTGCCAACGGAGACAGCTTGGAGAGGGAGAGGCGGGAGCAGAATTTCCATGCACGGGCCAGCCAGGCTCCTGTGAGTGTTTGTGGTGGTGGGGAAAACTCTCCAAAGAGTGCGGAAGAACCAGTGGTGAGGCCTAAAGTCCGAAATCTGGCAAGCCCAAACTTCGTGAAACCAAAAGTATTTTTTGATACTGATGATGATGATGATATGCCGCACAGTACTTCCAGGTGGAGGGATGCTGCCAGTGCTGACGAAGGCCGCTCACATGGCCTAGCAAGAAGAGGCAGAGGTGAGAGCTCAAGTGGCTACTCTGAGCTGAAGTACCCTGAAGACAAGAGGGAAGCCAGAAATGATCAAGTGAAGCCAGAGAAGGTGCCCAGATGGCGACGAACCATGGTTGACCCTGACTTCTGGACGTACAATGATGATAACTACAAATACTTAGATGAAGACTCTGACAGTGACAAAGAATGGATTGCTGCTCTGCGCCGCAAGTATCGAAGTCGAGAGCAGCCCCTGTCATCCAGTGGTGAAAGCTGGGAGACTCTACTGGAAAAGGAAGAGCAGGAACCTCCACAAGCTAGAGTGAGTGTGAGTGCTGCTGGTGTTAGCTCTGGCCCTGGTGCCAGAGCCAGTGAGGTTGCTAGCGCTGGTGCCAGTGCAGGTGCTAGTAGCAAAGGTAGTAGCTATTTTGAGGAAGTTCAAGAACCATCACTTCAACAAGAGGAGCGGGCATCCTTGGAAGGAGAAATTCCTTGGCTCCAGTACAATGAGAATGAGAGTAGCAGTGAGGGAGATAATGATTCTGGTCATGAGTTAATGCAGCCTGGGGTATTCATGCTGGATGGAAACAACAACCTTGAAGATGATTCCAGTGTCAGTGAAGACCTCGAAGTGGATTGGAGCCTCTTTGATGGCTTTGCCGATGGGCTAGGAGTAGCTGAAGCCATCTCTTACGTGGATCCTCAGTTTCTCACTTACATGGCCCTTGAAGAGCGCCTGGCCCAGGCCATGGAGACTGCCCTTGCACATTTGGAGTCCCTTGCGGTAGATGTCGAAGTGGCCAATCCACCAGCAAACAAGGAGAGCATCGATGCTCTTCCCGAGATCCTGGTCACTGAAGATCATGGTGCGGTGGGCCAGGAGATGTGCTGTCCTATCTGCTGCAGTGAATACGTGAAGGGGGAGGTGGCGACTGAGTTACCATGCCATCACTATTTCCACAAGCCGTGCGTGTCCATCTGGCTTCAGAAGTCGGGCACCTGCCCTGTGTGCCGCTGCATGTTCCCTCCTCCACTCTAAGGACCAAGGCTGTTTACTCCTGGTCTCATTGTTGTCCCCATCTGAAAGCCACAATACTGCAGGAGCCCTCTCAAAATTAATGAAAAAAATTTGGTCAATTTAAACCTGTTGATTCCTTGTGATTATTTCTAATGTGAAATGGTTGTATATGATTGCATTAAAAAATCACTGTTGTTTAGAGGTTAGAAAGGCAAAACTAAATTTTCTAAGTGCTTCTTGAGATTGAAAGAACATACATTTTCTAACCTGAAAGTTGAAATGAGTCACATTTGTTTTCTTCAGTAGAATATGTTGCTGTTAATTGTAATGTCAAGTTTTACAGGTTAAATAGGTCCAAAAAGAAAAATCATTTTTGTTGCATGTTCTGGCTTACTGCTCCTGTAATTGCAATGCTATAAATGCTTATTAAAGTCTTTTGCTTTTACATGGTGTAACAGGATTGCTTGGTTTTGTCTGAAGTAGTTGTACCAAGTGACTTTATAATCAGTCCCTTGTATTCATATCAAAAGTGAGAGGGTGTCTTTTTTTGTTGTTTTTTTATTGTTCCCAACAGTAGAAGAGCTTTACTTTTCACTAGAAATGCTGACTCCAAAAACAACATGAGTGTATGTGTGTGATGACGTTTAAAAGTAGGAATAAAATATTTAATTGTCTACTATAGGGGAAAGGTAGAATAGAGAAAGATGAAAGAAAAAAAGAAACAATGAGATATCACAGTAAAAACATGGAACAATGGTAGGAATAAATCCAAACTGAGTGTAGGGATGAATAAGTTAGAAATCACTTTTGAGAAAATAGAAACTCTGAGAGGGAATGGGTAAAAATAAATAAAGCTCGCTGGGCGTGGTGGCGCACACCTGTAATCCCAGCACTCAGGAGGCTGAGGCACGAGGATCACTCTGAGTTCGAGACCAACCTGGGCTACATAGTGAGATCCTGTCAAAACAAACAGCAACAACAACAACAATAAATAAATAAAGCTATATGTCAATTACATACCTTAATACAATGACACACATGGGGTAGAGGAGTATACACCAGATAGAAACTTCAGGAAAATGGAGGTGCCCACCTACAGCATGAACAAGTTTTAACATGTGTCCATATTTGCTTTATATCTCTCTTCTCTCCCTTTCCCTAATAAAAAAGAATTTTCAGGCACAGGTGAAGTTCCTCACCCCACCATATTCATCATTGCCTTTCCATGGAGGTAAGCACTACCCAGAAAGTGGTATATTTACTTCTTGTCTGTCTGTAGATTTACATAGGCATGTGTGTGTATATGAGTATATCTGTACATGTGTCTGTCCATAACCCATAGACTACGTTTTAAAATGGACATAGTGGATAGATTATATGCTATCATTTTGCAACTTTATTTTTTACTCTGCATTTCTGAGACTTAGCCATTTTAATATATGTAGTTTTAACTGCCATATACAAATTATTCAGTTGTATGAATCAGCAGAGTTTCTCTATTCCTCTTTGGGTGGACATTCAGGTCCTCACAGCATTTTGTGACAGGAAACCTACTAGAAAGACAGCCCTTTTGCACACGTGTGGGTTTCTGTAAGGGTAAGTGCACATGAATGAAAGGTCTGGGTCCCAGGGTTTGAGACTCTCCACCCCAAGCAGACACTGCCAAGCTGTTTTCCCAAGTGAGTGCACTAATGTATGCTACCAACCATTTGTGAGGCCTGTTTCCTCATACCTGAAAGGCCTGGATATTGTTAGCATCCACTGTCACTGGGAATCAGTAATGTATAAATCAATACACCAATGAAACATACTGTTCTCATCAGAAAGCAACAGTTTTTTTTATTGATCACATCTAGTTTGAGATAAATGAGAAGAAATGGGAAGGCTTAAGCAGTTGGCATGTGTGTAAATTATAGCAGCCTTTTTAGAGAGCAGTTTGGGCAATAGCTATCAACAGGTAAAGTGGCCTGTGTCCTTCACCCATCTTGGATGTTTTGGTAGTATGGAATTAATGCTATTCAGCAGTTACAAGTTGTATCAAATACTAATATGAAAAGATCCCCAAGATGTAATTTTTTAAAGAGTGTGGTGTAGAAAGATATGTACAGTATTACCATAAAATAAAACCTTACAAAACTAAACGATACATGAAATGCATAAAAATATCTAGAAGGCTACTACCTAACTGGTGGCAGAGGATACCTCTGGGGAGGAATTGAGGCAAAGGAGTGAAGAAGGGCTTTTGATTTTCCACTGGAAATAATGCATTTTCTTGATTTTTTCCCAGTCACTGTATTTTCACAAATGTTAATAAAATAAGGTTGCCCTAAAGGCAAAATTTTAAAATTGTCAGCCAAGTATGGTGGTGCATGCCTATAATCCCAGCTACTTGGGAGGCCAAAACAGGATTGCAGGTTTGATCCCAGCCTGGGCAACTTAAGATGACTCAGTCTCAACATAAAATAAAAAGGCTTGTGGGCATAGCTCAGTGTTAGAGCACTTGCCTGGCAGGTGCACGGCTCTCGGTTTCATCCTCTACCACAAAAAAATTAATAAAAAAAAAAAACTCATTCTCCCATTTCCCATACAGAAACATGGGTAGAAGCCACAGTTCTATTTCTGCAACTGGTCAAGCCGATTCTATGACTTCATTCCTTACCAGCCACTCCATGTTTTCCCTTGGTCTCAGCCAGCACCTCAGCTGGTGATGGAGACTCCAACTCAGCCCTTTCAGGGCCCTTTTTGGTGGGTCATGCTGATTTGTCATGACTAGTTTCTGTGCCCTGACAGGCATCTCACCGGAGGTTTTTTAGGAGCATCCTTGGGTCCTGATCATCTTTCTCGCTGCTCCCATGGCGTAGGAGCGGTCTTACTTTCCTGTTAGTCAAAATCAATCCAGAAAAGGCACCTACCAAGTGCCTACAGACTCCTGCTAATGTTGGAAAAGCCCACCATTGCAGAGCTCAGGGCAGGGCAGCTCTGCCAGGAGACCTACAAGGCAAGTTTTAGGCCCTTGGGGTCCTCAACACCTCAGATGAACCTGGGACCCCAGATAAGGTCATCGGAAACCTGGAAAGAAGAAGTCCGAGAGCCAGGTGTTCTGAAGCAATTTGTTCCTGTGCTGCTATGGCAAGGTGACGATGACAGCAGCAGTAGCAATGGCGATGCTAAGTGTTGGGCCCAGAGCTCTAGCAGCAGGCTATGGCTGTGTCTTTGCCTGCTCGGGTCCCTTGTCCTTCCACTTTCTGATTTCCCAGTCTCCCTGACACCTCCCCACACTCCTCCCTAGCTTCCGATACAACATTTCTGATTAAGTTAACTAGAGCTGTGTTCTGTTATTTGTAACAAAGATGGCACACATGCTAGCACCGTTACACACTTTTGTGCCTATTTCTTTGTCATGTGAGATGTCCCACATAGCCAAGAGTCAGGCAAGTTCTGTTTAAAATGCAGTGGACTCATTATTGGCACCAGGAGCCATGATTCTAGAACAATAGACTTCAGGGGCCTTTAGACACAAAGTCATTTCTGAAAGTAAGTTACTTGGTATATTCATTGAAATTACCACTACAATTTGTTTCTACCTGTTGTTGCTGTTGGCATTATTTTTGGCCATGGGATAAATCACCCCAAATTTTGGTCACTAATTTGGAGCATAAACCTCTACATCTCTAACTTCCTGAGGTGCCCGGCCCAGCTGGCACCACAGCTGCACCCTCCTAAGACTTCTCTCCCTGCTTGCTCTTAGCCCTCTGTTCCTGCAAAACTGTTGCACATCTGTGACCCTGAAATGGCTTTCCCATCTCTGTCTCAATTCTATTCATACTTTCAAAAGTTCACATGGTAGCTCTTGAAAAACAACAACAAAAACAAAAACAAAAACACTTGGATACCCTCTCCCCTCCCTGTGTCTCTTGTCTTAAGTTTCTGAGATCAAGAGCTCTGCCTGAGCCATGTCTACAGCCCTGGCATACATGCTTGACAAGTGTCCGTAAACACTTCCTAGCAGGGTGACTAGATTCCTCTCCCCAGGTGGGCTTGGGTGTGCTGTGAGAACCAGCAGGATCATGGCAGCCTTGCCCAAACAGGCTCCAGCGACCCAGTCTCAGGCCCAGTCCCTGCCCAGCCTCTGGTGGCCCTGGCAGTCTTCTTTTTTTGGGGGGGGGGGTGCCGGGGATAAAACTCAGGTCCTTGTGTTTGTGAGGCAGGTGGTGGAATCACTGAGCTAAATCCCCGGCCCAGCCCTGGCATTCTTATCCCTCCCCTCTTGCCACCTTTTTTGGCCTCAACCTCAATCCCATTTTCTGTGTGTCCTGCCAAATCCCCAGTCTTTTAGAGACTTCGCAGGCCCAAGATCCGTAGAGATGAAGTGGCACCATGGGAAGACATGCTGAGTGGAGCCTCTGACTGACATAGAGTTGATAAAGCCAGTACTGGCCCACCTGGCCCCAGTCTTGGATAAGCACTGGCATGGAACAAGCCAAATCCTGGGGCCTCTGAGCCACCCCTTCCATGCCCCATTGGTGTCTGTGGCATAGTACTTTGCAATCTCTGCATGACTCCCGTGTTCCTGTTTCTTGCCTCCCAGATTCATTATCCTGGTGTGTGTGTGTGTGTGTGTGTGTGTGTGTGTGTGTGTGTGGTTTCTCAGTCCCTTACACTGGTTCAACTTCCCCATTCCCCTTTGCATTCAGTCAGTTTCACTGGCACCTTCCAGAAGGCGAGTGACAAAGAGACTGGGTTCTGAAAAGGAGTGGTGTTCTGGAATGTGTCTACTTGGTGGGAGTGGGCAGCAGGAATGTCTCCTCTACACCAGCCATAGTCCCAGCGTGGTGAGGCGCAGGGAGGGATCTGAATGTTGGTGATGATGGTGTAAAATCCCAAGCCAACCCCAGCAAGGCCCTATTCAGGTCCTCTGCTCATAAGCATTGTATGCTGCACTCTGTAGATCAGCTTGAGGGCACCAAGACAAAAGGACAGGAGACATGTTGGTGGGAGGAAGAAGAAAAACAAGACAGATATGTAGGAGGACTCCTGACAAGGTGCTGGGGATGGGGAGACTGTTTCCAGAGGCATGTGGCTGACATGAAGCCTGGGAGCCAGCCTGAAGGCAAGTAGGGACTGGGGACATGAGTGCATGGAGACTGATCTTCAGGAGCCCAGCCCAAGGCACTGCTCAGTAAGGACCGTGCTTGCATTCAGCAAATAAGCTGGAGATTTAGAGCTGACTAGTTTAGTTCAACAAATACTAATTGCGCTTCTGCCTGTGGTATGTTAAACCGGGATCTGCAAGAGATGAAAAAAGGCTCAAAGACCTCGCAGTCTAGGGTGAAAGATAGACTGGTGAAGAGAGGATTGCAGCTGGGAATGGTGGCACACAT